ATACAGCCTTTTGCAAAAATTATGAGAATTGTTGAAATATCTAAATATCATAATATCGAGTGCATGATGGGTAATCCCGCGCGATGCCCTTAGTCCCTTGTCTTTGTAGTTTAGTTTTTTTTTTTGGCGACAGACTTTCCGTAGTTCTGAACATTTTCTCGATGTCAACAATGAATTATTCTAGCAAACCTTCGTGTTCCAGACAATATATGGATATGGATATTATGATATTTAGATATTTAGACAATTCTCATAATTTTTGCAAAAGGCTGTAATTATGATCATATCTATAATATTCCTTTTAGTGCTAGTTTGTAGAAGAGCTTTAATAATATTAAATAAACTTCAAGGTCAAACACCAAACTACTTTTGTGCTGAATTAAATTTTAGATGTGTTGATATGCTCCATACATGACTACCGATGACCTATTTTACTATGATTTTAACTATAGTTTTAAGTCCAAGTCACGACCTATACAAAAGCATTCTTGAGGCTATTACAGGGCCAACTAGGTTGGCATATTCTTGGACGGTCTCGGTGTCAACGCCAATAAATTCTTCATCACTATCGCTTCCATTTTCCTCAGCAAATCTTGATTTCACCATCATATATATCTACTAGATCAAAAAGTACATTAAAAACCATTGTTGTTATTAACTCGTTAATATTCATGAAYTATTTATCCAATGGCCTGGCTTTCTTTGCTGGCAACTGTACATAGTGGGGTTATAGTGTGTTAATCACATGACTGAGCATTTAAAGGTCCACATACTACATTTGAAAACCTTTGTAAGTTTTTACTCACAAAGGAAAAATTGACATCTTTGATTGTGAATCAATCAGAAAGCAATATTCCAACTAGATAGATATCATTTCTAAAACAATTACAAAATTCTAACAAGTAGCGATTGAATAGTTTCTCCAATGTACATGGGCCTTTACAGCACAACATATGAAAGTGTGGCCACATATAATAATTATATATAGGTCATATTATGTTAATAATTGTTATTGTTGTCATCACTTCCA